ATTATATAAACCGTTCTTGGTATATCTGATATTTATTCCAATTTGTCCGACCTAACTTTCTCTTATATTTCCTTACAGTATTATATATTGATTTATGAGTGTGCTGTGTTGTTTGGCAACTCAATTTCGGTTTGTTTCTCATTTTCGACAGTTGAGCTTTCATTCAATGTTGTATTTCTCTCTGGTGATGTTGGATTCCTGACGAATCTAAAATAATAGTTTGTGTCATGGTGTGCATATGCTCCCTTCCAACACCGAGTCTCTGCAAGAAATTACTCGTAGTAAGAAGGATGGTTCCCCTACTTCCGACCCATTGCCATTTCACTGAGTATTTTTTCTCACTTTATTAAATAAAATAATTGTTAATTTATCCCTATAATTTTCTTCTAAGTAGAGTATGCATTTCTTGTATAGTACCTCTTTGTGTGTCTGTACTTTAAATATTGTTTTTGATTGTTCGTTTCAAACCTGATCATGGTAACCACTATAAGCGCTTATTTTTCTGTCCCATTAGCCTTTAAAATAATTACCCAATACATGAGTCGGAGCCTTAGACTCGATCAAATTTCCGGCAAAGAGATCCGACATCTCCGTTTGTCTGGCTTCCGGTCCCAGGTACTGCGGGAAACAGAAGGCTGTATCCGCTGTACATTGAGCTATGAATTGTTTTGCGATGTATTAGAAGTAAACCATTGAGACTTAACTATTAACTTAATTATATGAAATAACTGATTTATATGAAACCTATTTTTGGTGTTTATCATTTATAGAAAGGTATGAATGTAGATGAGGTATGAACGTTAAAAATTACACCAAAGGAGTCGTAAAATTAGTCTGCACTAACAGAATCAATGTCATATTTTATTTTAAGTTAATAAAAGGTTAATGGACGTAGGAGATTTTAGGAAGTTGAAGAAATATATCTCTGAAGAGATTTAGTCCATAGATAGGAGGATCCCTGACCAGCAACAATATGAACCAGATTACAATCGGAGGGTGATGGGGACAGAAGCAGACAGTTTAGTTAACTGCCCTTCCGCCAGAGCGGGCTCAGTAAGAGATGGAGCAATAATAGCCAATTAGAAGAGCCTTACCGGAGAATTAAGTCCGCCGTACTAAGTTGCAAGACCTCTTGCTTGTGCTTGATTTATCGCCATCCCGGGCCCCAGGCTTTATTGCTTCACTCCAAATCGTAAATTATACTTGAATTTATGTCGGGCAGTAAACACCTTGCGTCCCGACAGCGTTGAATATTCAGTATTAAACAGTTTAAACTTCAATCCGTAGAAATCCATGTCAAGAATTTAATTTCCTTCCTCAAATAGCTAGCATAGTAGAGGAAGGCTGGGTGGAAGGCGAAAAGTTGATTTATTAATATCGTGATAAAACTTTTTGAAGAGCTTCACGATACCAAGTTTTAAAACATAATAGAATAAAGTTGAAATATGTGTGCTTATAACAAACAGACGAACTCTGTCAGCCTTTGAGTAGTATATAATCTCTTAGCTATTATTATCTGAAACTAATATTCAGTTAGCTAGACTCATTAGACTTGACTCGACGTCCTGACTTTCTTGGTATGAGCGACTTCTAAGGGTCTAACGATTTTTTCAAAATATTTTTAGAGTTCCTCGAAGGCATTTATTACGAGAACCTTGTAATTATATTCGGAGGAGAAAGAGTACAATTATTGGTAAAATCGCTATTTTTGATTTTTTAATAAATGGATAGCTTTTTTAATTAAATAAAAAATACATACGCACACACACACACACACACACACACACATATATATATATATATATATACTAAATTTCTTCAGTCGATCTTCGAGTATATATATGAATTATATTTTAACTTAATTATTAAACTGTTAATAAGATCACTTAATAATTATTCAATAAACTACTAAATTTTCATTGCTTCAGTTTTTATTCGACGTTTCGATCCCGGTTTTTTATAAGTTAACAATGGGATCCCCCTAGAAATGGGAAAGCTAGAACAACAAATCCATCAATCGGTACACAATTATGCTTCCATATGTTTAAAATAACAATTATTTCAAAATTTAACCTACTTCTAAAATATAGCCTTGATACCTCAGGCCAGGGACTAACCGACAGTCTAAGCACAGGTGCACTGAACATTTAGTAGTTTATTTGATAATTATAAGGTGACCTTATTCCCAAAGGATTCCTTTTTTATTCCCAGACCATGAAGATATCTGACCGCCGATGTGGTATCGAGTCAAAATATTTATTACTAGTATATATATATATATATATATATATATATATATATATATATATATACTACACCCGTACACTGAGTGTTTCAACTGCCTCCCGCAGTGCTACATCCTACGCCCTGAAGACGACCTGCAAAGTGGGTCGAAACGTCGGCAAAAATTAAATAATTACTATCTGTTTAATTTAGTATTTATTTGACCGTACCCTCCCGATTAACTCTTTCTCAAAAAATATATATGTTAAAAATGAAGATTTTTCAAATATTTATCATCTAAAGTGATCATGAAACTGTGTTTTTTACTATAGGAATTTATTCATATTTATAAGTGACTTTTTTTTTTTTTTTTTGAGTCCTCCCCTTCCTCGCCGTTAAGGCTATACGGGGTTTTCCAGTGGGCCAGGGAGTGTGGGCGGGGATTTAAAAGACTCCCTCTGCACCGGGACGCGAACTCGTGACTATTTTTATATCATTAGATTCATATGTCAGGTTGCCGGGCAACGGCGGTGCTGTGCAGGCGCTTTAGCCACCCCGTCCACACTATTTATAAGTGACTAACTAAACGTTACTAATCCTAATATTTGCGTTACTTCATTCATAAGCTTTAAGTTCACATTAATTAAGTTTTTTTTTTTTGTTAGTTCCCCAACTAAACTGTAATTTATTATAAATAGAAAAAAAAATATCCTGGACGAAGTATTTTCATAAGTAATTAATTTTTATTTCTTTAATAGTTTCTGTAAGTAATTTATTTCGAGAACTCTGTCTATTATTAATTTTAACATACTGTATTTATTTGAGAGAGGAAATACAAAAATATTAGACGATGACAAACCAGATACACAAAGATAAAAAAAAAAGTTGGTCATCGTGGTCATAGATTTTTTTCCTCCTCCTCTTTCCCTCGCCGACGTTTACTCATGTCTCTCCATCATTGACGTATTTGTCGATGGGGGCTGAACAGGGGGGGGGGGGAGGTTGGGATAAAGAGGGTGGCGTTTGTCTCTGAGATTTATTATCCAATCGAGGATTATGAACATCTGCACCCTCCTCCCATTTCTTTTTTGAAGCTAGTTTATTTATTGTTGTCTATCCCGGCATGAGCTCGCCTTACATTATTGGCAGCTAAAAAATCAGAAAGAATAATGTCAAACTCTCGATATCTGTGTATATATTCGATATATTCAGTTATAATGAAGACGCAATATAGTCATACAACGTTTACAGAATATATAAATAAATTAAATAATTTAAAAGAAAAATAACAAATGAATAATAATATTGAAAACAAACAAAAATATACAATAAATGAAAATAAAATAAACTTAAATATGCATATATACCTATATAAACTATTTTTAATCAGCCAAGGAACTCTGGACCAGACTCCACGTATAAAGGGAAAACAGTACTCCAGGAGATTCCTGCACTACTCTCTCAATCGCGTAACTTTTGCTATAAACCAGTGGAGGTTGAGCGAGAGCTCTGTAGCTATCTACACCAGTATATGTCTTGAGTGGAAAATCTGCTCATTGCCGGAACTCCTATATATGCTTATTTGAAAATGATTGCGGGGCCACTGAAATTTCAACCTTCAGGAAGGATTTTTGGAATCTGTTAAGAAAGATATGGATTGTGTTAGATGATAGATGAAATGTGTTAGATAGATTGTGTTAGGTGGTACATAAGATTCTGGTAAAATTTGGATCTACTTAGGTCTAAAACAAATGATACTTTGTCAAATCAGCTCAATGCACAACTGTTGAACAAGAAACTGTACTTCCCAACCAACTACTGAACCCAAGATCTTCGTCGCAGGGCATGAAACGAAAAAAAAAAACTTTTATTTTTAAAAAGATTCAGTACCATCGGAATTTTTATTTACGATAGAGTACTTGTCTGATTGCCGCTTGGGACGAAACCTCCCTTGTTATCTAATGTTACATCACGTAACCTCCCTTCTTATCTCGTGTAAGCTGTGAGTTATTTCATTGTTTATTTTTGGTCAATTTATATCTTTTTCTTCAAATTATGGATGTTATTAGATTGTGGGAATTGCCGTGTTCAGAAGAAGAGTCTATCAAATATTTTCAAAACGTCCGGATAATTCCAAACGTGAAATTGTGTGAAGAAGGTCATCAAATGAAGTTAGACAGGAAGACGAAATGGAGATGCTTTTGTACCACTTGTAACAAAAACGTTTCTATAAGGAAAGGGACGTGGTTAGAGGGATCGAAGGTTTCAACCGCTTTAAAATTAATTTATGGGTGGTCTCATAATTTGACAACAATAAATTGGGGCAAAGAGCAACTGCAACTATCGAAGAAATGTATCATAATGTTTTTTTTTAATTTTTTTATTTAAAGGTTCTGTCGATTTCGCTAAAAACATAATCTAAAAAGTGACTTTTATTATTAGCTACTCGTGTGTAATTCATTTAGGATAAATTATAACTCTAATCTAAGCCAAATTACTGTATATTTTTCATTTAACGGAACTTTTATTAAGAACTTTAATAAATAAAAGTTAAACATTTACCATATGAATGAATCTTTGACAGAAACCTTTAAAATGGAACTTTTTGAAAATGTTCTATAAAAGTTTCAACGTCTGCTCCATGGTTTATGATGGCTTAAGATTTTTTTTGTATTGAATTAAATCTCTGTTTTATATAAATTCTTTATATAACTATTTCCAAAATAATTAATTAAATTGGTATTATAATCATCATTTATTATATTTCAGGCCTCTTTCTACTCAACGGCGCTCAAAACCCTCATCTCCGTGTCTACTGTGATACTACTCGGCCTTATTGTCGCCTACCACGCCCTCGAAGTTCAGGTGAGTCACTAAAATTAATTAATATATTTAAATAATACATTATATTTAATATTTAAACTTTATTTTATTTAGAAATTAAAAAAAGAGAGTATACTGTATTTATCTAAATTAAATCATCCAACTATAATATAAAAAATCGACAACTTGCGGAGTTTTCAATGGATGGAGTTTTTTATGTTGCTCTGCGAGAAATAGTTATGAATATACAGGGGTGCCCATCCCCCCTCCCACAAGGCCGATGTCACATAAACCATTCCCACCCCTCCTAATATATTTTGTTCCTGTCTTCTTCTTAAAAACAGTGCAAACGAATGTAGAATTTAAATATTCGTAGATTATATACCATTAAACATACTGTGATCTGTTCCATAATTCCACTTGGATTTGAAACTTTTCATTTTAAAAAATTCATGACCCCGTCTAATTGTGTCCCCCTCAAAAATTGAAAATCTTGTCAAAATGTGCTCCCCTAATTAATTTAGATGACGTAACTTGCGGTATAAAACTCTAAAAGAGTTAAATTCTATCCTTATTTATCTAATTTCCATGAAAAACATCAATATGAATAATTTTATATCACTTACGAATAATTTTAATTCATTACAATTTTCATTTTTTTTTTTTTTTTTTTTGCTTTTTACCGACAACTTGCGGGTTTTTCAACGGGTGGAGTTCCGCATGTTCCTCTGAGTGAAATAGTTATAAACTAAAGCAAATCTTACAACTTATTAATATATTTAACTTATTTGTAATTATCTTATAGTCCGTGGTACAGACCCCTTTTTATGAAATTATTAACATCCACCTGAAGCTTCGTAAATAGTTTCATCTCATCGTAACTTACAACTATTATATTTACGAAAACTGTTGAATTTGGGCGTTTTCAATCTGGAGTGGGCCAATTTTGTGTATTTAATGAGGTACTAAAAACTCGTAAATACCCATTTGCATTCTATTTGGATCGTAAGATAATGTGATCACAAATCGATCAAAAAAGGTGGCCTACAAAAATATTGGCCCGTTTGCCCTGTATAACATCGTGATTTTTCAAAATTTAGGAATGTAGGTCACGCCATACGGCTCAATATTTTTTAAGGCCGTTTTTTTCTCGATTTTGTGATCAAATTATCTAACGATACAAGTAGAAAGCAAATTGTTATTTAATAGTTTTAAGTTATAATTAAATATACAAAGTTTGTCTCCCCTCCCCCAGATTGAAAAAGCCCCAATTCCATGAGCTTTCGAAAATAAAATAGTTGTAGGTTACGATGAGATGAAACTATTTACGAAGTTGCAGGCGGATGTTATTTAATCGACAAAAAGGGGTCTGTACCACGAAATATTCTAAGTCTTAAAAAAAAAATGTGTTAGTTTAATTCCTGACCTTCCTTACCGTAGTGGATCTGTTTGATATTGCTCTGAATGAAATAAGTTATGAATTAAGGAAAATCTAACAACCTTTTAATATTTTTAATTTATTTTTGATTATTTTTATTTCATCCAGTCTTTGTTATTACGAATTAAATATAATTCGTTACATTATATCTTTTTATTAAAACCATTGTTTTATTTTAATTCTTAATTATTATTCTCATTATTGTCTTGATATTTCATCAGTTTAAAAAATTATATTAGTACTGTAGATACCGTTTTTCTTTTTGTTTAAGAAAACTCTATTTAGGAAAAACAAGAGTCGATTCTAACCATATATCGTTTCTATCTACTGCATACTATAGCGGCCTATGTTGAGTTATACAGAGATCCTCTTTGTTCCAAAGCGGTAAATCCTTCTTAATACCGCCTTTAGTTGTAATTTACGATGAACATTATACATTAATCTATAACGCGGTTGTAATGCCGGCAGTGAAATTGCCGTGATAAAAGATGCCTTGGCTGAGAGCCACGGAGGTTGAACTGGAGTACTCACATTTTCTCATCTCATTTCCTCACCTAGCCTAGGGACTTAGTCCATCATCTAGTATTGTTAAGTAAGCTTTAGTTTGATATTTGAAAAGATTAAGTTGGGAAAAATATTAAATTGTGTTGATTATTTACTTAAATTATAGCTCGACCAGAAATACTTTACATCTCTTAAAATTTAAAAAAAAAGTTAGAATAGAATAGAATAGAAGAATCAACTTTATTCTGGGACAAAGTCCCTTGAGAATAACAATATTGTACATAAAAATAACATCTGGCCAAAATGCATATTACAATAAAAAAAAAAAGTAATAACAGAAGTATTTACATAACTATACAGATATATTAAAGACATAATATGAGCAATAAGGTCCTGATACTGCAAAATAGTTGCTATAAACAATAAACTATGGAATTTGAAATGAACGACAAATTACTTTTGTTGTCATACCATTGTATTAATTAAAAAAATAATAATAAACGAGTGGATAAATATTTACTTTAAATGATTTACATATGTACCTTAATATGTTCAAAGAATACAATAATAGTATTGTAAACATTATACAAGTCCTATATAAACTAAATCCTGAGGTGTTGATTGATCGAAGAAAATAAAAGATAATATACATATAGAGGAGATTATATACATATATAATATACATGATAAATGGCTACCCAGCGTCTGATTGAATTATTCAAATTGAAACTAATTGAGTTACTCAAAGAAATCAGTAATTTTAAAAGGATATCTATTGTTCAAAAAGTTTATAGTTTATTTGCTTATCTTTGTTTTCCAGTCTGTGTTATATTTCATTTTTACATTCTCAGTCAGCTTCACCATATTAATTCTCGTATTAATATTGGATTTGTATTGTTTTAATGGTGTACTGATTGTTGTACGAACAACATAAAAACCCTCTCTTGAATCAACAGCATAATAATCTAATTTTGTGAGAGAAGTATCTTTAAAAAATCCGGCGCGAGAAATCGTTCTTTTTTTATGTATTTCAACAAATATGTCCTAATTGTTTAGTCAATGACTGTACATTCTATACTTTAAAAAGTGCGTTTATTCACTGACCAAACTTGGTGGGAATTACCCGGAACACATTATATGCTGAAGAGTAATTATTCCTAATATATATATAAATAATAAAAATGAAACAAGTTAAAAGTTTTAATGTTATTGTGGTGTTCAGAAAATGTCGCGCTATTGGTGGGGCAACTGCAAAATGTTTCGTTCGACCCCATACATAAAAGGAGCAAAAAGCCAGCTCACTAATTTCTATGTAAATTACAGGTAATTATGCATGCAGGTGAGGAAAAGGCCTGAAATCAGTATCGAGGAAAACTGTGCTACGAAAAATGATCGAAATTTTGAGACCTCGTGCAACTTAACAGTATTTAGATTGATATTGCTCTCAAGTTTCTAATGCAGAGTTATTTTTAAAGACTTCGTTTACACAATTTAGTCAACTTAGTACCGATTTTTCTTTCTGTTTTATCTTCTTTCTTTATATAACTTTCGAGAAATCTCACCTGGATTCATAAATCGACATGTTTCAACAGGGACTTTCATGTTCAACAGTATTGAGATTCGTATGCCAGTATAAGCCATATGAATCTATATAAATAAAATAAATATTTTGTCTGTACATTGAATAGAATCAAGCCTTTTTATGATATCTTTACGTTTCATACATTACAGACACCAAATCCACTTTTTAAATTTTTTTTTCTGTCTGTATGTCCACATTGCAACGAAACTTTGTTAGTAGTAAGCTCAGCAATGGCTTATTGTAGACTTTTGATATTTTACCATTATATTAAGGTTTACTTGACTTAAAACATAGGCTTTAAATGAAAACAAAATATTGAGTAGGACCAAAGTTATGAATTCGTGATTAATTTGTCTAGAGATCTCGATTAATGTTGATAATAAATGTTAATAATAAACATATGCTTATAGGTTAAAGAACATCTATAGAAATGGAATAAAGGTTTTGTCTGTACATTGAATAGAATACTCCCGTTTCATGATATCTTTTCGTTTTATACATTACAGATACCAAATCCACTTTTAAAAAAATGTTTGTCTGTCTGGACGTCAACATTGTCCAACGAATTTTATCAGGCGTAAGCTCGGCAATGCCTAATGGTAGACTTTTGAAATTTTGACATTACATTTAGGTTTGCTTGGCTTAAAATATTTTTTTATTTTTTTTTCCTACGCCTAAGTAACGCCTGCTTCGTTAGCCATGCGTGCTCTTGCAGTCCAGTACAACTTTGCTCTCCGTGTATAATAGCTGTCCATTTCATTAAAGCAACATCTTATGTCCTGTAATGCAGGGCATGTATCCAGATGTTCTCCTGTCATTATGTCTAAGGAACATAGAGGGCATGTCGGGCTATCTTTTACACCGATGCGGTGGAGGTGCTTTTGAAGGAAATCGTGGCCTGTCAGCATTCTAAAGCATGCCACGGCTTGCCCTCTAGGGAGGTCTCTAGGAATCCTGCCACTTTCTTCCAGCAATCCACTCCATTGTTTCCCTTCAATTATTTGTACATATTTCGCTTTCAGTGAACTTTGGAGGGTCTTCTTTATGATTCTTTTTGTTGAATCCATGGTCAGAGGAATATCGGGTTGGATCATTCCAGAACCTATTCTGGCCAGTTTATCAGCTTCATCATTTCCGTGGAGCCCGCAATGGCCTGGTATCCACTGGAAAGCGACTTCTGTCCCATTTTCCTTTAATTGGTTCAAATATTGATGGCATTTAGGAACATTTGGATTTATACTATATCCATTTTTTAGGGACAAAATGGCTGCCTGTGAGTCAACAAAGAAAGCCACTTTCTTGTCTTTCCGTTCAGTTAACATCTCAAGGCCTAAGAGAATGGCTTTCACTTCCCCTTCAAAGTTTGTGGCTACCTTTCCGACCGGGGCGGCAAGTTGAAACTCCTTTGAATAAACACCAGCTCCTGCATGTTTGCGTGCTTCCAGTGCAGAACCATCTGTATATACATGGAGCCATTCTGTCTCTGGATATCGTTTTCCGATGGTTTCTATTGTTACA